AGATTTACGAGCGCACCCACTGAATATAGCGTTCTATCACCCTGTAGTGTTTGTTGTTCTGTGTAGTGTTGTCATTGACGGCACATAGCATTACTTATGTAATGTGCAGATGTGTTGCAGCATCTGGGCATCATACAGATGCGGCCGTTCACTCTGCACCACTCCGCACACACAGAACTCATTGCAACACATCACTACCATGTATAACTCCGCCCTCTAGCTAAGTCTGCGTTCATATCAGTGCGCGGCACTATATACTACGCTAAAACCTTGTTATGGGAGGTTACAAAAAAAAATAAAGGCGGGCTTGATGCGGGTTTCGGGCCTGAAAATTCAGAAACCATATCGGGCCGGGCCGGGCTGGGGCGCCACCCCCTCGGGCCAGGGCCGGGCTCGGGCCCAGATAATAGGCCCGTGCAGGGCTCTACCGTGAGACACAAATAAAACACATTAGGGTGGAGCAGGCGATCAACAAGAAAGACAAGCGAGAACCTATACATGAAAATAAAACTGGTAAAATATAATCACGTCTGCACGCATGGATTATTATTCGTTTTGTTATTTTTAACATTGAAAATCTCAATAATGATCAGAAATAGCAGGAGTTTTGGACTTTCAAAAAACAGTGCAGAGATAGCAAATTACCAGCTGTGACATCATGCGCCGGGGGCATTAGTGGAAGCGATGGAGAGGGATTGAATGAAACATAACACTCAAATCCAGACAATGTAGCTGACAAAATTCAATCAGTTTTTGTACAGCCCAAAATATGTTCCCAAAATGTTGATATGTCATTAGTAGATATTATACTTTAACCATCTCTGCTGCTGTGACCTGAAATGGCTGTTGCTTATTATTACTATAATGGCTTTTTAGAATTTTTTTTGGCCGCTACTGGACACCTAAATGTCTCTTACGGGGGATCAATAAAGGGTCTATTTATCTAAACAAGGAAAACAGTCATTGATTTAAAAAAAAAAAAAAAAATAGAGTGAATAAGCACACTATGATTCACAGGAATGAAAATGAAATGAGCATTCCCCGGACCCAGACCCACTTTCTTCTGTAAGAAAGACACAAAAAATCTGTGGGGAAAAAAGAGAAACCTTATTCACAGTAAAAGAGACATGTTACGGGTTACATACTGCATTTGGGTCGTCCTGCTGTGCCGCTGAAGGGCCTCTGTCAGGAGCAGTGACCACAGTGAAGGTGATGCTTGGTCAGGGCCAGAGCTGGAGGGTTTCACATAATGCACATGATTTTAGTGATAGAGGAAAAGGGAGCACCCAGACAAGACCCACGTAGACACAGGGAGAACATCTGAAAACCCCTGTTCTGACCGAGATTCTTAAAAATCACTTTTATGGAGAGGCAAGAGTACCATCTCCCTGTGCTGACTCCCATCCGGTTTCCCTGGTGACTGGGAATCTGTGGGAATCTGGTCCACAGGTCATGGCTGGAAATCAGGGGTTTCAGGGTCCTTTATTGCTTCTCAGAAACAGTGAACAATGAACAGACCACGGGCGACCTCGGCACTAAGAGAAAGGCAAGGCAAGTTTATTGTATGGCACAATTCATACACAAGACAACTCAAAATGCTGAACTAAAATCATTAAAATAAAGAAGTAACAACATTATAAATCACAGTACATTAAAAATAAAAATATAAAATCCCTCAGTTGTATGCACAGCTGAACAGAACTGTTTATAACCTGGATGTATACATTGTCAGAGAAGAAGCCTGTCTCACATTTTCAGTCAGATTTTTCCACATTCTTGCTGCATGAATCTGAAATGCAGCCTGTTTAGTTTGTGACTTTGGGCACCAGCAGGAGGCCATCCCTGTGCTCCTCATAGTCCGGGCCGGTTCACATGGGACTAACAGGTTGGTGATTGGGTATGGCTCATGCAGAAGCAGATATGGGGACTTGAAGAAACTTTATACATATATTATTTAGTGTCAAAGAGTTCTGTGACATCCTAAAATGCTGGAGGAAGAGATGTCTTTACCACTTTGAGCATCATCACAGAGTCCTGGCTTGCACCAAAAAGCAAATGCTAAAGCTCAAATGTGAAATCAGAACATGAGATTTGTGAGACTAAAGTTCTGAATCTGGACTGCCATTTTTACTTTTTCATACATCCAGACCTTGGTGATTTCAACCCAAAGGAGCAGAGAGCGAGAGCCTGGTTTTCACTTTAATCTCAGAGCGAAGGAGTGTGGGAAGGCCCAGGCTCAGTAAATGGTGTCTTAACTCCAAGAGATAAGACACCATTTAGGAAGGTAAGACTCGGGGAAGGCTAAACTCCTCAGACTGTCAGTCAAGCTGCATAGGGAGTCAGTTTGCTTGGAGAAGTATGGTAACTCGAGCACTATCCTCTCCTCCTTCCTACTTCATCTGTTTTGCATTATTAGGATTTTGACTGTAGTTTGTTCATTGCTATTCACCCGTTGTCCCATTGTCTGTTTCATGGTACGATGACGGGATCTCTGAGCCTGGCCTCCTCCATCTACACCTGCGGACTGCCCCGCCCGACCCGCCTGGGAGTGCCTCAGTCCTGAACAGGACCTGTCCACGTTCAGCGGCCACTGGTCCACGTCCTGTAGCTTAGGTCTTGGATCTATAGCCTGTCCGTCCGTGGGAGCGAATCCCTTTCTCAACCTGTAAAAAAGGGTCTCCCCGAGGTTTCTCACTTTTCTCACTTAAAGAGTTTTTCCTTGCCGATGCAGGAGGGTCTGTTGGACAGTTAGTGTCCAACTAGAAGTACAGTATGTGGTGATGATCCAGGACACTTTAATATTCTACAACATGTATGGACATTTATCAACATGTGTTCTATATTCTTTATGTGTTTTAACTGTTGATTTTCTGATCTGTGTCGGTGATTTCAATGGTGTTGTTAAGTCCTCTGAGATGACTTCTGTTGTGATTTAGGGCTATACAAGAATAAATTGTATTGTATTGTATTGTATTGTATGAACTCATATGAGAACTGGCTGAACACTTTGGAGGGGAAAATATTACCAAATATTGTAGGTAATATAAGCAGAGACTGAATATGGCTGTTCAGTCTCTGGTTATATGTATTGAATTTTTAGAGATTGCTTTAAATGCAGGACAGCAATAACTATAAAACTTTCAGGATAACAAAAAATAAAGAATTCTAGGATATAACAGAAATGAAAATTCGAAGGAGAGAAGCACAGGGTTTAAATACAGAGATGGGGGAAACATTTCATTCATAATAAAACATCAAATAAAACAATAAACAAGACACAAAATAAACAGAAATACAGGAAAGGGGATGAAGGAAAAACTCAAAAACAAAAGATGCAGGAGGGTCTATGGACAGTGATGATTCAGAACATTTTTGCACATTTATTACCATTTTTGAACAGTGGTACATCCCGCTCTCTTTGAACCTTTGTGTTTGTTATTATTGCATTTCCTGTGTTTTAACTGTTTGATTCTCTGATCTGTTGTTGGCAAATCGACAGCTTAAAGTCCTTCGAGATGACTGCTGTTGAGATTTAGGGCTATACAAAAATACATGAAATTGAATAGAGCTGAATCATCAAAATCAAACGTAAAAATCAAATCTAGAATACAAAGTCCAAACTACAATACAAAAATGATAAGAACGTGTGAATAATGCATGTGTCATATCTCACCTGTCTCTTATCTGTGGCTATTTGCTTCATATTAATCCAGATATAGAAACATTCTAATAACAGTTTCATTAAAAGCGTCCTTCCTACAGATCGGTGATATGGATTATTGAAGCGGCTGCAGTAAATCATGTAAACAGAACTTGTTCATGTTTTATACTTTGCACCTTTTTAAACGTCTTTCTCATTTGCTCGACACATTCTAAGCCTCAGAACAAACACTGCCGTCTCATCCTCGCTAACGCACTACAGTAGAGTCCTGTGCTGCATGGACCCACATCGGAAACATCAAGGGCTGATTTACTTACTTTTCTTTCTGCTGCTTCTTTGAGATTTATTTGTATTCATATGGAACAAACAGTATTATAAATGCATGGACTTGTTGCGGCAGAAATAGTGCATTCAATCTTAAAAAGTGGCTTAATGTTTTCAGAAATGAAGGAACTGCAGATAGAGTTTGATTCTTTATTACTTACGATGTTGTTCATATCGTTGTTTCAACCTGGAGAGACTACAAGAGACGAGATGCGTTTAAGAGTTGTTTATTTTATGGATTGAGTTTGTTTATTGGTTTGGAGCTTAGGCCCCGGCTGTGGCCGTGCTCTGAAGAGATCTGCGCCTGGGTGCAGATCATGATCCCCTGGGGCCTAGACACTGGTGGTGGCAACAAGGCAAGGTGAATGTGAGAGTGAAGAAATCCTGAGGCGGACGTGGGGAGGAGGTGGTTGCAGCTTGAAGTCCGTTTGGTGAGCTGTGCTCTGCGTTGCTCTTAAACGCTGGCTTGATTGACACGGCTACGGGGAGTTGATTAAGACAGGCTGAGTAAGGCGTGGTCAAGCCTGGTGTGATAACGTAGGTAGTCTACCATCCTGAACCTCCGCTTAAGCTGCATTTCAACCTGGAGAGACTACAAGAGACGAGATGCGTTTAAGAGTTGTTTATTTTATGGATTGAGTTTGTTTATTGGTTTGGAGCTTAGGCCCCGGCTGTGGCCGTGCTCTGAAGAGATCTGCGCCTGGGTGCAGATCATGATCCCCAAAAAGAGAGCTTGGCTAGCGATGCGTTTGCCATGACTTGGTTGCTGCGTTTATGGAAGGCGCATGGTGTGAGTGACTGTTTCCGGGCGCGAGCTCGGCTCTAGCGCTAGGCGTTGGCACGCGCACGAGCTCGGCTCAAGTGCGCGTGCCAACGGACAGTCTAAATGACGGACAGTCTAAATGCCAATGCAGATGGTAAAACGAACAGCCTGAAGAGCAATGCAGCGGGTAAAAACACAGCCTGCGAGCCAATTCGGCGGGATTAACTGACACGCCACAGTTCAGTACAGTTCATGGTAGTACGGAAAACAACGAAACCGACACTGTACCGTGAGTGGAGGCAGGGAGAAGGGTGGACAGCGGCAGGCAGACAACGGCAGGCAGACATAAGTCCCGTTCCCGGTATGGAAGCGGCAGGGTGCGCGGAGCAATGCCTGGCCGCGAGCAGCAGCGGCCACGGGGAGACGAGCGGCAGCGAGTCCGCAGGAGAGGACCCGCGGTGAGCCGCGGTGGAGACACAGCGACCGTGGCGCGCAGCCCCCAACATGCGATGATTAAGACAGGCTGAGTAAGGCGTGGTCAAGCCTGGTGTGATAACGTAGGTAGTCTACATCCTGATCCTCCGCTTAAGCTGCATTTTAAACCAGTAAGACGCAAACTACAGTACAGACCAAAAGTTTGGACATACCTTTTTCATTTCAAAGAGTTTTTTATTTTCAAGATTATGAAAATTGTAGATTCACACTGAAGGCATTAAAACTAGGAATTAACTTATGTATGTATGAATTATGTACGTACAAAAAAAAAGTATGAAACAACTGAAAATATGTCTCATATTCTCGGTTCTTCAAAGTAGCACCTTTTGCTCTGATTACTGCTTCACGCACTCTTGGCATTCTCTTGATGAGCTTCAAGAGGTAGTGACCTGAAATGGTCTTCCAATAGTCTAGAAGGAGTTCCCAGAGATGCTTAGCACTTGTTGGCCCTTTCGCCTTCACTCTGTGGTCCAGCTCCAAAACCATCTGGACTGGGTTCTGGTCCGGTCACTGTGGAGGCCAGGTCATCTGGCCCAGCACCCATCACTCTCCTTATTGGTCAAACAGCCCTTACTCAGCCTGGGTGTGAATCTACAGTCAATAGTCATGAAAAGAAAGGAAATGAGAAATTGTGTCCAAACTTTTGGTCTGTACTGTATATCCTGTAGCTTTAGTTCATTTATTTATTTCACCCTTTGCAATGAAACGTCACTTTGGAACAGCAAACACACAAAAACATCCCAACACGCTAGCACAATAAAAACAATCCAAACAAGCACATCCACGACACAACAGCATTTACCACTCTCTCATCACAGTGCTAACCAAGCCCTGCCCTGCTTAGCTCCTGAGGTCTCCCATCGAACTGCAACAAGCAAGAATAACGAGAATTGGACCCATAGAAGCCCATCTTTTTGTTTCAGGTGGAATGTTTTTAGCTGTTTATCGACCAGTTAATTATTATGTAATAAGTTAGAAGTTCCCAGGACACTAGGGGTGCAACGGTTTGAAAAAATCACGGTTCGGATCGTACCTCGGTTCAGAGGCCACGGTTCGGTTCATTTTTCAAAAAAAAAAACGTTTTGCCTTTTTAATAAACACAGCTCATGTGGACTCGGCACCTGCAGGAGGATCAGTGAGGGGCTGGTGCTCTGTGTACTGGGTGCAGCTCTGACTGCCACCCCTGACCTAGAAATGGATTAAGGGGAAGAAAATGGATGGATGGATGGAAGGCATATTCCATCCATCCAATTATGTCTTTTTAACATAATTAATGAAAAACAACACAAAGTGCAACATAAGAAGGCACTTTATGAGGATATTTACCCTCATATATTAAACCACCTTCCTGATTCTCCCGAGGAGGCGGTCCATCCTGGGCCCAGTCCAGCCTCATTCACTGCATTTATTTGATTTTTGGCATTATCAGTTGTGACTGGGATATTAGTACTGGGCCTTTGTCTTCCATTCCTCCGCTGCTGTGTCAGTACCTGCGCTGTGTGACTTTCGTAGAGGGAGCGTGTTTGCAGCGCCGGACTTCTCTTTTCCCAGTCTGCAGTGATGAAGTGAGCGGTTATCGTAGCATAGTTCTCCGTTCCGCTCATGGATCTATTATAGGTTCCGCTGGACGTCCAAGCGTCAGTCGTGAGCGCCACTGTGGATGCGCGGGAGAGTTGACTTTAGCCTGGTCTGACTGTGCGTAAAGGAGCTGCTTAAATGCCGCGAAAATAAGCGGTCATCGAGACGCTTTTTTTTCACGCATGTCTTTCTTGTGCCACAGTGTTTACACACTGTGACAGTTTTGTCGACTCTGTAATCATCAGTATAGTTACAGTGAAGCCAAAATGCTCTCATACCGGGGCTTTAAATCTAGCAGGCTTCTCTGTTCCTCCGCTCCAAATGACCGCGCTGTGTGTGGACTGAACAACATAGTGGGAGCGCACAACTTTTATTTATAAATCAAATCGCGGATCACGTCTGTACCGAACCGAAGACGTTGAACCGATGCACCTCTACAGGCCACAGTCTCTCCAACGTGTCCTGGGTCCACCCCTGGGTCTCCCCCCGATGGGAAATTTCCGGGGAGCAGTCCAGGAGTCATCAGAAACAGATCCCAGAGCACTGAACACTAATAACTCAATCCGAATATTTTCTAACCATTTAATTTTGTTACCACTAACAGTCTGACACAGGCCACTTGAAGACTTCTGAGATCAGCTTTTACCCTGTCTGCACTGAAGAAAACAGATTAAGACTTTACAACATTAAAAAAAAATATCAAAAATGACCTGGAGTTGTTTTTGAATCCATCCAAGCCATTCATCAGGAACTAACACATAACTCTGCCTCCGTCTCAGTCCTGTGTAAAGTGTGATGTCATTGTACCCCTATGACATCACACTCAAAAAAATATGGCCGTAAATGGTTTGAATAATTTCTCAGCTGAAAGTGCATTCTTTACCATTGCATGGTTGTGTTTGCAGCTGATAATTTTGGAATTTAGTTGTGGCGTCATAAAGAGTTACAGCTGAGGGATTTTACCTTTACTCTTTTGAAAGTACTGTGATTATTTATGATGTTAATGCTTTGTTTTTTCCATCTTGTTTTTTCAGCACTTTGAATTCCCTTGTGTGTGAACTGTGCTTAACAAATAAACTCGCCTTGTCTTGTTATTATTGTGTTTCTGTGTCTAAACTGATCTTTGTTCCGTTCTGTTGAGATTTATGGCTACACAAAAATATTGAATTAAATTATTTTTAAAACAAAAGAATGTATCTATTATTATACTATTTCTTTTTAACTCGAATTCTGAAAGCTGTTTCAAAGAGTTTGCTCTGTCTCTGACACGATTCCATCGGAAAGGTAAAGCCCTCGTGACTCGCCAACGACTACATGAAACCTGCAGTGAGAGAAATTGTCAAAATCGTTGTCAAAGTTTGAGTCTCAAACATATGAGACAAAAATGTCAAAATCCTGATCTGAAGCGACAGTTTAATGCGGCTAATTGCTGGATCTTCCCCACGGCGTAAGAACAGGCTTCGTCTGAAATCTGCTCTGCACAACTCTAACTGCATTTGACAAGTGTTGTGTTCAGTGGTTTGTCCACAGGGCGTTTCTCACTGACCTTGAAGCACAGTTTGCAGAGCAAAGCAAAATGACTTCTTTGAGATTCTGTTGTGTTGCTACTGGATTTTTTGTCAATAAGTGCATGAAAATGTGTCTTGTTTATGAACCAAACAACACTATATTCAAGTAGTTCTTTACTTCTTTCTTTAGGCCTGACTGTGGTGTCGTACATTGCACATGTGACTTGGCTGCTCCTCCATTGGAGAATCAATACAGAGGATAATTACTTGTCAGCAAAAGAATGACAAGATAACACAACATGGCCTTTGCGTTTCTATGACAACATACTTAACCAAATAAACAGATTTGAAGTACAAATGTTTATTCTATGAAAGGCATCATCGGTGAATGCTAAGAGTCAGGGACACGCGGTCACAGGAGTGATTTCAGCAGTTTCATGCTGACACTATAGCCTTGGGTAAGACACTGAATCCTCCTAACCGGAAGGGGGGAGTGACTGGGGGTCATTGATGTAAAGCTGTTGAGTTTTGAAACGTAGAAAATAGAAAAGGAGAAAATACAACTCCAATACTGCTGTAATATATTCTCTGGTTGTTTCTTCAGCACAGTGTGGACTTTCCAAAAGTGAGTAAATGAGCATTGCAATAGTGCAGCACATATTTGTGCCATGCACCAATGTTCCCGATCAAACAGGGTCTAGAAAGCAGCAGACTCTCTGCACTGAATGGTGTGTAACAACAGAGTGTTTTCGCGGCGGGGCAATTGTGTGTGATAATGCTTTGTCATCTCTCTGAGGCCACACAAAAGCACGGCTGCCTCTGGAAGGCCCCAGGCCGCACAGCTCTGCGCTCTGCATTATGTTTGCACTCACAGTGGACTGCTCTCAGTCTAGCATGAGACATCCAGGGGTGAGCACCTGAGTTTTAACACACCAAAGGTGCTGAAAAGACCTAGCACTCCAGGGAGACCGCCAAGGGGCCGACAGCACAATGTTCAAGAGCAGCTACCTGCGCGAGGTGCGCAAGGAGAAGTACGAGCGCTCGGATGTGTTCGAGGAGGAGCCCGAGGACAGCTCTGCGGCCATGTCAGCCATCCAGGGCTGGGAGAACCTCCAGGAGCTCAACAGTCGCTTCGCCCGCTACATCAACAGAGCACGAGTCCTGGAGCAAAGGAACGCCGTGTTCAGAAAGCAGCTGGAGACTCTGCAGCGCATGGACGATGGCGGCGGGCTCGAGGAGGCCTTCAACGAACAGATCGAGTTCAACAGAGAGCGCCTCCAAGAGCTGTCAGCAGAGCACCACAAACTAGAGAGGGACCTGAAGGAAGCCTCCCGCATGCTGGACGAGTACACCACCAAGTGAGTCTGTCCCAGAGGAGCCCGAGTGTGAGACCAGTGAGAAAAGCATGTCACGTCAGACACAAGAGCTCCTCATGATCGACAAACTCTCTGTCCTGAAGCTGACCCACACACACATCAGACATTAGGTCCCCATATGTCCACACATCACTGCCAACATGTGACTTCATGATGATCGATCGTGGTCCTGAATATGCAGCACAATTGTCTAACGTGGCATTAGTTTGTGACACGGTCCTGGCTGTGATTTGTGTTTGCAGATACAGAGAGGAGTGTGAGTATCAGGAGCAGCTTCGGGGCACACTGGAGCGGTTAAACAAGGTGAGACGGAAAGTTACAGACAAAACTGATCTGGATTATTTTTTTTAAGTAAATTTTGAGTCAAATTTCTAAATCAAGAGACATTCGTAATCATGAACCAAACGTTTGCAGGAGGCCGACAACATTCTGCTGCACAACCTAGAGAGCCAGATCCAATGCCAGTTTCTCCAAGACGACATCCGCTCCACAAAGGAAAGGCACAAAAAGGTAAAAAACAAGAAAATTGTACACAATGGAATACAGCTAGTTCTATTCTCACCAGCATCTGGGGTCGTCAAAATTCAGCGTGCGTCTATACTCGAGGATTCAACAACAGAGAACCACCAAGCAACAAGGCTGGGTTTTGGAGCCTTGGAATGTGACGAGAAACACAAAAAAACTCTCCCCGCAATGTGTACAAACAAGTCTCGGATAATACTGCAGACGAGTCTACACAGGGAAGCTTCTGTCGGCCGTGTTGTACATACGATTTATTTTAAGTGCCTCGGAAATGTTTTGAAATATGAATTAATTCGGCGCTGTAGTGGAGAGATATAAGGGCCCCGCTGTTCCCGCATTGTGTGCAGGAAAGAAAGACAGGCTTCTATGTTTGTCTTCAGTGAATGGAAGTCCATTAGTGCCAGGGATTTGGTTTGTACTAATATGATTACCTATTAATGAATCAGTCTTTTGGCAAGAGTTACCACGCAGATGGTTCGGGAATCTGGCTGTGAAAGTTTTCTTAATAGATAAAATATGGTCAAATTTGAGGCCATTGTGCTCGAGTGGCGAAAGGTGACTGGCCATTTCTGGGTGGTGTCGAGGGTCTTCCTTAAGTGGAGGAGTTCAAGTATCTCTTGTTCACCGTGAGAGAAGGATGGAGTGATGATTGCAGCGTTTGCAATCATAGCTGTGTCAAACTCTTGATCTAGATAGATAGATAGATACTTTATTGATCCCTGTAGGAGAAATTCAGGTGTCCAGAAGCAGCTAAAATAAACTAAATTTGATCATTCTGAAAAGATAACAATAGTAATAATCAGCTTCAGTAATAATCTACCTTCAGTCTATGTTTCCATCCTCACCTATGGTCAGATCAATCAAAATAGGTGAAATGATCAAAATGAGCTTCCTTCACAGTGTAGCAAGGTTTTAGAGACAAGGGGAGGAGCTCAGTCTCACGGGGGGAGCTTGGAGTTGTGCCGCTGCTCCTTCCATGTCGAGAGTTGCATCTGTTTGGGATGCTTCAGCTGGTCTGGGAACGCTTCAGAAGTCCCCGGTGTGTATAGAGAGGGAAGTCTGGATGCCTCTGCTAAAACTGCTGCCTCTGCAACCCGGTAATGGATAAAGTGGGAGGAAATAGATGGGCCGTTACACTTCTGCTGTTAGATACGTTGTATGTATTTATAAAAAGTTGTTAAAACATAACTTACCATAACTGTTTAATCGATAAGTATTTTTCCAGGTGTATTTTGCACTCGGACAGATCACAGAGGCGCCTCTCCACAAGCTCAAATGTTTTAGTCCCATGAACTCTTTTGACAAAAAAGTATTCTCAGTATGACTTTGAAACGGTGTATCTCCATAAAGAATGTTCCAGCCCAGAAAAAAACATACTGTTGGTTTGTGTGTGTGTGTGTGTCTTTGATGGAAGTCACAGAAATGTTTTTCCCGGAAGGTTCGTCATTATTAACCTTTGTTTCGTCCATAGACTGTATATATTAACGGACAGAGTCACGCCTATCTCCGCCGTTCAAACTAATGGGTCAAAAATTGTGCTCTACTGGAGCTATCCAAAATGGCCGCGAGTGGCCCGCCCACAAGAAAATTGTGAAAAACGCATTTGTGCATGTGCCAGCCAGCGAGAGCTCCATTCATTTAAACGAGAGACTTCAAAAATTCACAGCAAGTAAACTAGAGTGGTCCAAAAAAATTCAACCCCCTCGGCATTGACACACATGTGGAACGGAGCTTTGGGCCAAGAGCCAACTTTTGGTCCATCCTGTAAAGACGTTTTTTAGAGGTCTGCCAATGCTATATGTTAGCATTGGCTGATTCTTCTTCTGGGTCCACCCCCATCGGCCCGGGGTGGTACTGCAAGCATGTTTATTGTCTGTATGTTTATCTTCTCTTGTGTATCTTGAACAATAGCATCTCCATGAACATTAGCAGTTTCACATAGAAGTGCATTTGCGCAATTTTAAAACCAAGGAAAGGCAACTATATATGTGTAGCACAGTTCACACACAAGCCAACTCAAAGGGCTGACCAAAACCAGATAATCTAATAAGGCATTCAATATGATGAGTGAAGATACAGTCATACCTTTGTTGCCATTTGAGACATTTATGCTAACAAATATTTTTCCCTCTCGGTTCTCTGAATATCATTGCTTATATTGTTTTGAATGTTCCTATTATTCTTTTTTTTCCCGAATGTTGTTCGGCAAAACTGTCATTTCTTCACTGTAGCATTGTTCTAGATACATAGGCTTTCAAATACAAGTTCCAGTAATGTTCCTTTGTGATCGATCCGGCATGTCTCGTCTTTGTCTGAGAGCGTTTCTATTATCAAAAAAGATTATGGAGAAGCTTCCGGCAAAACTAGTTTATTTCTTTTCTTTTTTTTTTTTCATTTTCCATTGCGATTCTAAACAGCTTCTACATTGTCCAAGTTAATAAGGTGACCGTACTTGCATGTGAAAGCCATATCATGCCATACCAGGTGCCAGAGTGGAGTGGTAGCGGCCGTAAAGTGCCAAACTGTTCTTGTGTCCTTAGGCAAGACACTTCACCCACATTACCTAGAATGAGCCTGGTTTGTGAGTGAAGGATTGGTGATGGTTGGAGAGGGCGATGGCACATACTGGTTGCCTTGCTTCTGACAGTGTGTCCCAGGGCAGCTGTGGCTACTGTTTTAATTGATCACCACTGTGTATGGATTGAAAGAATAATGACATGTGAAGTGTCTGAGTGTCCAAATCAGTGCTATATAAAGCCTAGCGTACATCGACAGAGAAACTGGGGACAACAAGTTGCAAGGCGGCTTTTGGCAACTGAGAGGAGATGGTGGGAGATGATCAGTTGCCGAAATCGGTCGATGTGCGCGCTCTTACAACTGGAGATAAACAGTCGCTCTCCAAATTTCAGTCAGTTGCCCGTGCTCTACTTTTCGGCAACTAGTTGTCCTCAGTTTCAGAGATATGACCCGATGTGCGCGCTCCATGCGCCGCTCCGACAACGTGTGTGTATTGCGTGTATTGCGAGCCCGCAACAGTTTGTCAGAAAACACACTGTTGTTGAGGCCAGTTGCTGTCGATGTACGCGCTGTTATTCCCGAGACTGGTCTGCTACTGGGAGTTGCCCGTTTTCGTCAGATTGTCGATGTGTGCGGGGGAGCAACTCATATGCGACGAATATAATCAATTGCCAGTCCGATGTACGCTAGCCTTAAAACCGATGCATCATTATTGAAATGATCTCAATCCCATAAAATCCCTAAAGATTTAACGAGACAACATATTAGCATGGTCAAAAAACACAATAATTATTAGTTTCAATTTCCCTTTTTCAACTTTTTATTCTATCGATTTCAGGTAGAGGCAGGTGTCATTACAACTTTATAGATTCTGAAAAACAAAAAATCCAATTGTCTTTCCCAGATCAATGTTTGACAGTGATTAGATTCACAAAGCCGCCATATTCCTTTTGTGTCTTCAAGTCCTTTCTACAGACCAACATCATGCATAGGTTTCTGGATATGGTCACCACTTCTTGATATTTATGAGAAAATAATTATTGAGCATTGTTGACATGTACTGACAAAGAAGACTTTTCAGATATTTGTTTTTTTCAGCTGTCCTCTAACAGAATTACGTCTCTATATGTCTCAGGAACACAGCCTATTTTGCAGGGCCCTATAGAAGGATCTTTGTTTACACCCGCGTGCGCATGCGCCCTTCGCACGGGTGGCAAGGAGGCAGAGTGGCACATACTTAAGCATGGATTTGAGAGTACTTTTAAAAGACTCAGTGGGCGAATAGCGCTGTATATAAGCACTTTAATGCAAGAAGATCAGAGGAGATATAAAGACAAGCTAAAAATAAGTATGTGAGACCGAACTGAACAAATTCAAAGCCCAGATGAGACCCGGGATGACGAGAGAAAACATTGGTCAGACTCACCATGCTTGGCACCGATCTGCTGGGACTCTGAGACATTTATTCTTACTTCATAGAAAACCCGGGACCCTTCACTCTAGAAGGGTCCGTGGTGTTTTTCACCACGGTAAAGTGGCCCGGCATTTCGCCACGCCTTAAAAGTGGGCTGCTCCTTTTTGCTGTTACTTACGGTAAAGGTGGAACAGGAAGCTGCAGGGATTAGCAACCAACTATTAACAATTGTAAACCGCTTTGAGACTCAGATCTGCAGTGAAAAGGCGGTATATAAATAAAAACTTACTTACTTACTTACTTACAAAATCCCACCGGCTTCCCGTTCTATGTTTACCGTAGGTAACATCATAAGGGCAACCACTTTTTTGCCGTTTTTGCAGTTCTTTTCCGAAATAATTAGAAGAAAAAAAATTATCTTTCCCCAGCGGGCCATACAACCGACCACACAACAGGAACGGACCATTTGATTTAGTAGAACCTCTCTACAAACGTCTAGAACTAGCTAACTCTCTAGCATCCAGGTAGCTTCCAATGCTATAGTGCCACGTGACCGGCGCGGAAAAACTATAAACAACGACGTCACTCCAAGATCCTCCTATACCAGCCATAGAAATAGCGTAGGATCCTGAATAAATACTATCTTCTTCACATGTGAAATCAGATGCCATGTCACAATCGCTTTGCTCAAAATTTTAATGAAATTCCGTTTTTCTTTTCTCCCACATAGGACCTCGCCGAGATCCAAACCTACGTCAACATCCTGCAGCAAATCAACCAGACGCTGCCCCTTGTTCCCAATGTGTCGCTGGGCATTTCCGAGGTGAGCTCAGGAGTCATGTCAGCGTCCCTGTGTGTGTGTGTGTGTGTGTGTGTGTGTGTGTGTGTATGTGAGTATGTGTGTGTGTGTATGTCCTCCAGGGGTAGACCATTCAGCGCTGGATATTGGTGGAAGCTAGCTGTATATAGACTCAAACATCCACCATATGTTTGGTTCTATATACAGCTAGCTACCAATAGGTTTTTCATGTCCTTATTTAACCAGGACAGTCCGACTTTTGAGAACTGTGTGTTATGTACCAGCAGATTCATCAACAGAACAAAAAAATGTCACTTATTTTTTTCCCCAACAGCAGAACGAGGAATAGCCTTTTTCAAGTTGTTTTGTGAAATAGGGAAGAAATTGTTTGACCGGAATAGAGGGGATGAAATTAACAGATTTGTTTGCTTTTATTGATGGCTTAAATGTAATATATGGGCGGACCTTCTTGGTTCTGGAAGAAAATTCCCCATTCAAAATCTCCACAGGGATTTAAGAATAAATATTACAAAATATTCCCATAAGAAAGATGTACATTATTATACACAATACTTGCCGGACTACAAGCCGCTACCTTTGTGAACTTTTGTGAACCATGCGGGACAATATAGAAAACATTCCTGCTTGTTGCATGTTTATGTGACCAGCAGAAAGACGCATAAAAGTCGGGGGAAAAACACAGAACATGTTTTTTTTTTTAAATGTGATTAGGATTTTAGTTTATAGACCCATTTCTTTGACTTGTCATTAAATCATGTTAGGTTAAAACAGTTGTCTATCGGTTTATATAAAGCTGCACATAAGATAAACCTATATTATTCCCACGGTGGGGAAATTTCAACGCCATCATTGTGAACAAAAGAGCATTCAAAGCACACATCAAACAGGATCAATTATTTAAGATGATAGATAATAAAATAAAATAATGAAAAAATAATTAGTTAATAGTACGGCAAGTTATTTTTTTCTAAAACCGCTCTTCCCAGCTCCATAGATGTGTGAATGAACCATGTTTGCTTAAACAAAATGTATCAACTTTGCCTCAATGTTATCATTATTTATCTCCCACCTAAGATTGCACCTGTATCTGGTCATCCTACTCCAATCATTGCGTAATAATGAAGCCAGGAATGATTTAAATGCACTCCAAACAGAGGACAGAGGACAGAAGGTGCATGTTTGTGTGTAATTGGCTCAGTAATGTGCACAAAAATGAGTGGTTTTGGAAAAGCCACATGTTTTGCTAGAACAGACAATCAGGGAAGAACGAGCAATATTTCAAACCAATTAATTAAAGTTTCAATATGTTTCCAAGTAATTACCTGAATCATCAACAGCACAAATCTGTATATTGATTTTTCCATAGAATGCGTTCACGTTAACGACGGCTTGTGGTGGTCATTGGTTTGATAGAGGCTGATGAGGTGAGGGGTAAGTGTGGGGCTGGTCGTCTTCATGGCCTTGTTATTGATTTGTGGTGATTTGAACATGTGCGCAGGAGCAGGAGAGGCTGCTGGCCCAGAGGAAGGTCCCGGGTCTGCAGAGTCAGCTGGAGGAGTGCAAGAGCGCCCTCTGCCAGCTGCAGGGGCAGAAGAGCAAGCTGCACGCTGAGGTTTGTCACATGTGGTAGATGCATGGATTAAGATGAAGAGATTCTTTATTCGTCCCACGGTGGTGAAATGTCAGTGTTGAATCGGCGGTTACAGAAGAGTAGGAATGAGGAGCACACAGCATAAGATAAATGAAAAATAAATAACCCTATACGAAAATAAAAAAAAATCGCAAACTTTAGCATAATAAAGTAAGTACAAAATCTCTATAGCTTTAGTGTCATAAGGAATCAAGTCTAAAATCTTTAAATTTAGCATAATGAAGAAGCATGAATTATAAGTATCAAATTTGACTTAAGCATAGTAAAGTAGAAAGTAAAAATACTGTATATTCTATTGCAATGAATAGAAATAGTTATATGTATTGCTCCTATTGACTTACATTCAAAAGTCGACGTTGTAACGTGGCGCATATGTGTATTGATTTCATTGTAAGTTTTATTGTGAACCATGGTCTGCAAAATGTGCTATAAATACATTTTACTGCTTCATATTCACTATAAATATTCAATATGGTCCATGTGGTGTTGGATAATACTGTATTCAGACATATCCAACACCATATTGAATATTTATACCAAATATGAAGCTATTTCATAGAAAATAACCTGTGGAACTCTTGCAATGTTCATAAAAACCACTAGATGCCAGCATTGTCCTGTACAGTTTCTTTAGAACGGTCCTTGGTAAGAGTTTACTCTGAGCAATTTAATACTTTTATACATTTCCTATTTTAAATACAAATCTGGATGTGATAAGTTTCATCCATATTAGCTACAATCTTTTTGTTTTGTTATCGTCAGTACATTTGAAAGAATGATCTCAAAAACGGAATATGTAATAGAGACACTCAAACACTTCACTCTTTGTTAGTGGTTTGTGTGAAGCAATTTATTGTGTTATGTTTTTCCTCTGACCCTGATCAGAAGTCTCCATCCCCCAGTTCTCAGTATTGTGAGTTGCCCCATTAACATTGTTTGTCTTGTGGTATAGTTGAGGATGAGGTTCTTTGTTTTCTAACGGTAAATCTGTAAATATTGGCAAAAACCTCCAGTTTCTGTACATTTCAGATTTCCCCAGAGTGTCTGAATGATGTCAAAACTACAACACTTTTATTTGACAATACATGCATCACGCAACCAACAATAATGAGTGGGGGAATAAAAGAGGTATCATTCATAATCTCCCAAACATGGCAAAACAATGACATTTCTGAGAGAGAGAGAGAGAGAGAGAGAGATTACCTGAACCATCTGGACGCAGTGAGGCTTACAATCCCCTGTGTTAGAAGTAATGCCCCGTGGTTGACATTTTGCATTTCCCTGGCGGGGCTTCGTTACAGCCTAATCCTGTTACCTCAACTCCTCAATGAATCTGCGCCTGTGTCTTTCAGAACAAGATGCTGGAGCAGAGCATCAAGAGCACCCAGGAGAGCTACGAGGACGAGATCCAGACCTACAACCAACAAATTGAATCTTTGAGGAAGGAGATCGAAGAAGCCGAGAAGTCCCTGGAGAAGTTCACCAACGAGTGCCGGCACCTGGCCCTGTACCAGAGCTCTCTGGAGAACGAGCTGGAGCGCTACAAGAGGATCATCGAGAGCGAGGACAACAGGTGGGGGCAGTGTGTGTTTGGGGGGTGCTTGGCCTCACAGCAAGAGGGTCCAGCTGTGGTTCTCAAGGATTATGGGATTTGCAATTTTTCTTTTCATTCCTATTACAGAACGATAGTGTAGAGCAGGGGTCCCCAAACTTTTCCCTTCTCCGATGGGGGCCGGGTCAGTTTGTAACAGAAAAAGTGTGATGATTGCAGCGTTTAAATAGTTACTAACTAATAGTTAATAATGAAATAAGTTCATAACTAAGGAACTTTTTATTGCAAAAGTCCAACTTTATTATCAAATACACAAATGAGTGTGTTCACAGTAAAGTGTCAATTAAAGTATCTGGACTTTAAAAGGTTATAACTCAAAAACTAAAATTACTATCATAGATTAGCAAAAAGATTTAAAACACAGACACATCAAAGAGATAGTGCGGATAAAATCTAAAGGAAAGATTGACAAATATATTTTGGTGACATTTAAATGACAAAATCAGCCTCTGATTGGACCATTCTACTGTGACGCCAGTTACATAGAAAATAAAATGTCCTCAGTCTGAAAAAGCGGCAGATGAAATCCCACGAGATTAACATTAACACAACATCACTAAATCACTTGATATAAAAAGGAATCCTTAAAAAAATAAATGAGGTGTAACGGACGTGATGGTTTCTGTCCATTTTTCTCTAACAATTAAACTTGAGAAAAAAATTAATCTGGTTTCACATTTAATTGGTTGACTATATGAAATTATCACTTTGTTTCTCTATGTAAAAAAAATAGAATCTCTTAATCAAATGTGGACATCTATAAATACGTAACAAACTTCTGCAAAGCTCATTCGGTCGAATCATCATGTCCGTTACATAAAATAAACAGGGCCACTATAGGAAACTTGTCCAATGTATAAAACAGTTATGTTCTAGCAACTTCTATTGGACAGAGGAGGTGTTTGTTAATGAAAAACATTAAATATCTTTGGATTATTAAAATCACATTTTTGGGCCGTAGTTTGGGGACCACTGGTGTAGAGGGTATTCAGCTCAACTGATGGACAATGCTAACCCGCTAGTTCGATGAAGCCCAATAGGGAAGTGCTCATGGATGTAGTTTTGCTCCAACGCCATCTGGCTCTTATTGACTCAGATTGAAGAGTAAACTCCTCGGGCTCAGTAACTGTTTGTGTCACACTTACCATTTTGGGCTTAAAAAAATCTGTTATCCTGGTGTTTTGTCTTGTAAATTCAAATGAGTAAAAAAGTATTCACCAATCAGATGCAGTCACAGCAAGAAGGTCCAGCTGTGGTGTGACTGTCAGTAATGAGTCTGTCTGATGTTTGTCATTATGTGTTTTGCCCTTTCCTTTGCCTATTTGCCTATTTTTTTGTCCTATTTTTTTTCTTACTGAATGATGGAGTAATTATATAAGGGCGACTGGCCTTAAGGCCAGAAGGTCGTGGGTTCAATTCCCACCTCTGCACCTTCTCCATCGACTCCCACTGATGACTGCTGTTGTTGTGTCCTTGGGCAAGACACTTAACCCCACTTTGCCCAAAGCCCCCACTGAAAGATCAAGGCTATGCTCACACTCAGAGAGCAGCCGTCCTCCTGTGGACTCACCACCTGCAGAGGGTCAGTGAGGGGCTGGTGCTATGAGACTTGGGTGGCATCTCTGATTGCCACCCCCCTGACCCAGAAATGGATTAAAGGGTAGAAAATGGATGGATGGAGGAGCACATCAGACTCTACCCATTTCCTCAAGTCTCCATGTGAAGACTGGACTCACTTGAGGAAATGGCGAGAGGACCCTTTGAGAACCAATTGTCTTTAGAGCATGGATTGTGCCTGTATAACCAGGCACGTTTTACCTCCGCGTGTAGTCCCAGGGTCAGGCACTTACGGCGTCAGGGCAATCTGAGATGGGGTGCTTATACGGCTAGCCTTATATTTATGGATAGCCGAGCCAGTAACTTTCTGCACAAAATTTGCAACAGAGCGCTCCTCACAAATGTCACTACCCCTTCATGACTGTCGGCCTTCTGGCGATAATCCCGAAATAAGGCTGATAATAGTCTTAATAGTCTTAATAGTCCTTGAGTTGAACAATGATGGACTTAAAACTGGCTGCACTCTGACCATTTGTACCTCCCAGAGATGTTGTAAAAAATGACTTTTAACATCTAGGGACCTAGCCTGGCCTTAGCCCTCCGTACACTCCGTTCAATCATCATTTCACTGCATATAACGTCTGGGTCTATTCCCTGGGTTAGCGAATACAATCGGTTGAATTTCGACCGACCATTCAGAGAGCGCGGAAGGCGAGTGTTTTAGTTAGTTGTGGGTGATGTCAAGAGTTTGCGTCAAACGGGCAGGTTGTAGTTTGGCAATGGCGAAAAATGCAATAGTAAAGTAATCCGGTCTGGTTCTATAAAGATATTGAAGCCGGAGCAATAGGACTGTTTAGCAAATGTAATTGCTAGAATAAATTGTGGCGCTACTCACCACGGGCTCTGTTAGCGCCAAAGGAGATGGCTAGGCTAAATGCTAAATGCTACAACAGACTCGGGCGCACTACATACGTCACAGTAAACTCAGATCCAATCGTTTCAATCTGCAAAAGGTGTTAACCCCTCCCACCTGTAAACGGAGCTCGAAATGTAATTTGTACTATGGTGTGGTACGACCAGGCTACTATAGGAACCATACTTATGTTGAAATTATATACTGTATATATATTTAGTTGCCTTAAACACATCCTCAGCAGGTGGCAGTGTTTGACAGATGATTTCAATGTTATTTATTTGTAAATTGTTGTAGTGATTTCAATGTTAACCTGAATACTAATTACAAGTAATTGTAGATTTGATATTTTACTGAACCAAAATGAACCCTTTATAATGCTGATTGTGCTTTCCAGGGATCACCAAAATATACAAGCACTACTTTCATTTGATTCTATAGTACTGTACTAATATATGGATTTAAACCCAAACGTCCTGAAAAATATTATTAATAATATGATCCGACTATTATTCCGTCCTCTCTGGAATACCAATGAGGTCTCTTATATATTCTATTCTCTGGACGACCATTTCAATCTTATCCTAAAGCTCAACACCAAAACTAGACTGGACTAAATAATGCCTTCCAGGTCATATGTCACTGTCACTGTGTTCTTTTTTCCCTTCAGGTTGAATTCAGCAATAATTGGCACTCCCATCAACCTGATCACCACTAATTACCGCTACGCCCACACCCCCTCGTATCTGAGTAGGGGGAGAGGTAAGACTCCACACACAATTGCCACTGCCACTCATCTGGTTCTGTGGTTCTATATATTACACATATACACTGAAAAAAGTGATGAAAAATCGAATGTCAAAATTGCAAGTTGTGGTTACTCGTCTCACAAAAAATTGGCAAAACCTATCTCAATTGCAGCACATTTTGACTACCTTAAAACAAGATTTTCCTATGGGACAAGTGGATCTATCTTGTTTTGCAAAGAGAGAAAGAAATGGAACAGTTCTTGAAATGAGAGTAAATGGATTTGTCCCATTGGTGAATCTTGTTTTAAGACAGTCCGAAAGTACCCAAATTAGGGGAAAAAACACTCTATTCAAGCAACTATTACCTCATATTTTAACATATTTTGCAGTGTATTTACACGTGTGTCTGTTGGTCTTCAGAAGTAACATCCCTCAATTGAACATTTTAAGCTAAAAGGATTGTGTTTTTATATTGTTGGTCACAAACTTAGTGGACATGTCTATAGAGGCAGATTAGGTTTGCATGTGTTTTTTAAAATGTTTTTTGCTGCATGTGTGGCAAGCTGGACTTGGTCACCATATGTCTGTCCACCAGAGGTGGAGATACGGACAGTATAAATAGCCTAGAGTTACGTCTTTTGTTTACCTCTGCACTTCCGTCTCCTGTGGGTCGTTGCTCCAGCCGTTCTCCTGCTCCAGTGCCGCGGTGTGGCATTGTGCCCCGCGAACCCTGCTTCTGTGTAGCCATGCTGTCCTGTCACTTTGGCGTCTGGCCATCCTCGTTGCTGGGGTCCGAGCATGTCGTAGCCGGCTGTGGGTCTGGCCTTTAAACCGTCACCCGTCAAGGGTGTGTGCTCAGCAATTGCTGTAAAGAAGCTGGGGACTGGCCACATCGCGGCCCACCGCTATTTCTCCCGCTGTCGCTCGTTTCTCTCCCTGTTCTGTGTTTCTTCATGGTTTCACCTGTGCTCCTGAGTCCTCAGTGACAGGAAGATGGGTTGCATTAAGAGAACTTAACCTAACATAATAAATCAAAGTAACCTAATGTCTGCCTATGCCTCGCAATATGATTTGACGAACCTGTGCGCCTTAGGAGTGCGTTTTATTTTATTTGCCCTTTTATGTGCCCTAGCGTTGCTGATCCTTTTCTTTATTTTATTTTATTGTAATATTTTAGGCAAGGCAAGGCAAGGCAGGTTTATTTGTATAGCACAATTCATACACAAGGCAACTCAAAGTGCTGAACAAAACAAGAAAGCATTAAAATCATAAATAATCACAATACATTTAAAAAAAAAAAAAAAAGATAAAAATATAAAATCCCTCAATTGTATGCACAGCTAAACAGAACCGTCTTTAACCTGGTTTTAAACATTGTCAGAGAGGAGGCCTGTCTCACATCTTCAGGAAGACTGTTCCAGATTTTAGCAGCATGAATCTGAAAAGCAGCCTCCCCATGTTTAGTTCTGACTCTGGGCACTAACAGGAGTCCAGTCCCTGTGCTCCTCAGAGTCCGGGCTGGTTCATATGGGACTAACATGTCACTAATATATTTTGGTGCGAGGCCATGGAGAGACTTGTACACAAGCAGAGCTGTTTTAAAGTCTATTCTCTGAGCCACAGGAAGCCAGTGCAGAGACCTGAAGACTGGACTAATGTGGTCGTACTTCCTGGTTCTAGTCAGGACTCGAGCTGCTGCATTTTGAATGTACTGCAGCTGTTTTACAGCCTGTTTGGACAGACCTGTGAGCAGGCCATTGCAGTAGTCTAACCTACTGGAGACAAATGCATGGATAAGAATCTCCAGGTCTGCTTTAGACACTATGTTTTTGATCCTGGCAATGTTTTTTAGATGGTAAAAAGCTGCTGATGTTACTGATTTTATGTGGCTATTAAAATTTAAGTCTGAGTCCAGTATTACCCCTAGATTTCTGACCTTGTTTGAAGGTTTTAGGGAGAGAGACTGGAGGTGACAGATGACGCTCTCTCTTTGTTTCTGGGGACCAAAGACAATCATTTACAATACAATAATACTATACAATTTATTCTTGTATAGCCCTAGGTCACAACAGAAGTCATCTCAGAGGACTTAACAAAACCATTGAAATCCCCAACACAGGTCAGAGAATCAACAGTTAACACATGGAGAATATAAAGCACACACAGAAGAAAATGTCCATACATGTTGTAGAATGCTAAAGTGTCCTGATCATCACCAATCCTTTCTGTTGGACACTAATTGTCCAACAAGACCCTCCTGCATCGACAAGGAAAAACTCTTAAAAAAACCCAGTGGGAAAAAGTGAGAAACCTTGGGGAGCACTAGGGAAACCCACAGGGAGGGAGACCCATTTGAGAAAGGGATCCGCTCCTCCGGACGGACAGGCTAATGATCTAGGACCTAAGCTAGCTACAGGACGTGGACCAGTGGACGCTGAACGTGGACAGGTCCGGCGCAGGACTGAAGCACTCCCAGGCGGGTCGGGCGGGGCAGTCCGCAGGTGTAGATGGAGGAGGCCAGGCTCAGAGATCCCGTCATCGTACCATGAAACAGACAATGGGACAACGGGTGAATAGCAATGAACAAACTACAGTCAGAATCCTAAAAATGCTAAACAGATAAAGTAAGTAAGTAAGTAAGTAATCTTTATTTATATACCGCCTTTTCACTGCAGATCTGAGTCTCAAAGCGGTTTACAATTGTTAATTTTGGGCATTTGTCTCTCACTCCACACAAAGATGGGAGCGGAGGCGCATCCTGAACTATTGTACATATTTTTAGTGGTAGGGGAAACCGGAGCACCCGGAGGAAACCTACGCAGACACGGGGAGAACATGCAAACTCCACTCAGAAAGGCCCTGGTCCGACCGGGATTCGAACCCAGGACCTTCTTGCTGAGAGGCGAGAGTGCTATCCACTCTGCCACCGTGCAGTAGGTAGTAGTAAGTAGGAAGGGGGAGAGGATAGTGCTCAAGTTACCATACTTCTCCCAGCAAACTGTCTCCCTATGCAGCTTGACTGACACTCTGAGGAGTTTAGCCTTCCCAGAGTCTTACCTTCCTAGCCATATGCTAAACTAAAGAGGACTGTTTTAAACCTAGCCTTGAATAAAGAGATTCATGGATTGTACACCAGGTGTGCAAACCGATCCAAGCAAACCTAATTATATATTATATATCATATATATCACATGTATCATACACATCATATATATCATATATAGTACACAACATAACACACAGCATAATATATAACATAATATACAACATAACACAATACATTATTGTATAATATATAACATAATATATAACATAATACAGCATATATATATAATATATACACCATATATTATATATTATATATTTCAGTTGTGTCTGCGTTTAGCTGAAGGAAGTTGTTTTGCATCCACTCACTGATCTGTTGGATGCAGTGGAGGAGTGAGTCCACTGGTCCATGTTCTCCTGCATTCAGTGAGACATAGATCTGAGTGTCGTCTGCATAGTTATGATAGGACACTTGGTTTCTGCGTATTAACTGACCTAACGGCAGCATGTAGAGATTGAACAGAAGAGGTCCCAGGATCGACCCCTGTGGGACTCCACAGGTCAGGGCCATATGATCTGAGACACAGTTTCCAATCTCCACAAAGTACTTCCTGTCTTCAAGGTAAGACCTAAACCAACTTAGGGCGGTGCCAGCGACGCCAACCCAGTCCTCTAGTCTCTGTAAGAGGATCTCATGGTCGACGGTGTCAAAGGCATCACTTAGATCTAACAAGATTAAGATTGAGACTTGGCCTGCGTCAGTGTTCAGCCGGATATCGTTTGTAACCTTGACAAGAGCAGTCTCAGTGCTGTGGTGGGGTCTAAAGCCGGACTGAAACATATCAAATGAGTTGTTGATTATAAGAAATCTAGTAAGCTGTAGGTAGACAACTTTTTCAAGGACTTTCCCCATAAATGGCAGATTTGAGATGGGACGATAGTTGTTAAGTACAGTGGCATCCAGACTGCTCTTTTTTAGCAGGGGCCTGATGACTGCCGTTTTCAGGGCCTTTGGGAATATTCCAGAATGAAGGGACATGTTTACTATCTGTGTGAGTGAAGGTAACAGACTGCTCAGAACAGACTTCAGAAATCTAGTGGGTAGTACATCCAGGCTGCATGTGGAGGAGCTCAAACTGGAGATTATCTCTTGGACATTTTTATCATCTACAGGTGCAAAGTGAGTTAGCTCAAAGAGCCTTTCGGGCTGTTGGATTGTTATCTGTGGATTGGAGACAATGGCGTTTTTGATGCCTTGAACCTTGTCATTGAAAAAGTGTGCAAACTCATTGCATTTACGTTTGGAAGTTAGCTCTAATGGCATCTGAACAGGGGGGTTTGTTAATCTATTAACTGTTGAAAACAGAACACGCAGATTGTTACTGCAGCCTTCAATCATTTCAGAAAAATACCTTTCTCTCGTACTACGTAGCACCCGGTTAAACTCGCACAACTTATCTTTGAAGATCTCGTAATCAACCTGGAGGTTGGACTTGCGCCACTTCCGCTCGGCCCTCCGGCACTTTCTCTTTTGTGCCCTGGCCGAGTCTGCTTTAGCCCACGGCGCCTTCTGCTTATTTTTCACTATTTTAACCTTCACAGGGGCAACAGTATCCAGAACATTCAAAACACTATAGGTGACAGAGTTAAACAGTTCATCTACAGTAGAATACGATGCATTCTCAAAGTTTATCATTCCCATAAATAGTTAACTCGTATTTTCATTTATGTGTCTTCTTCGTACAGTTGAAGAGTCCACTGGTGGTTTGTTAGTGAAACACATGTCAAAAAAAACACAGAAATGATCCGAAAGAGCAACATCGACCACTTTTACATTTGAAATATTCACCCCCTTAGTAACTAACAGATCTAGAGTGTGCCCTCTGCTGTGGGTGGGGCCACTTACGTGCTGAGTGAGATCAAAGGATTCAAGTACAGAACTCAGCTCATTTGCATTTCTGTCATCAAAATTATCCACATGAATATTAAAATCACCTGTAATAACCAAACTATCAAAATCTGTGCATACAACTGAAAGCAACTCGGTAAAATTATCAATAAAACTGTGACATGACTGCGGTGGCTTGTATAGGACAATGAAGAGTATTGGAGGAGATTGTTTTTGTTGTATTTTAAAAGACACATATTCAAATGACAAAAACTTCCCAAGAGACATTCTATGGGAGACAAAGTGGTCTCTAAAAATGGCAGCTAAGCCTCCTCCTTTTTTGTTTTCCCGTCTTTCAGATTCAAACTTGAAATTTGGTGGTGATGCTTCTATTAAAACTGCATTTCCTGAATTTTGGTCAAGCCAAGTTTCAGCCATGAACATAAGATCAAGATTATGAGAACAAATAAAAGTATTGATTAAAAAAGACTTGTTACAAAGAGATCTGACATTAAGCGTAGCAAGTTTCAAAGTTTCAGTATCAGCGGTTGTGGTCGGCTGATTCTTACACGGAACAAGAATTAGATTTTCCAGATTAGACTGATTAACTCCAGATGTTTTTCTGTAATGTACTCTTTGTGTTATCACTAAGGGAATGGCACAGGTGGCTTCATGACAGGGCCCCAGCCGGGTCTCTCCTCTAACTAGACTGCCAGTGGCTGCGAAGCAGAGACCCTGTGCATCCTAGTGTTTAGAGAGAAGAGGGGAAGGGGAAGGCGGGGGAGGAGGATGGAGAGGTGGGTGGCTTTTGGGTGTTGAACGAAAGGGAGGTGGAGGGGTTTTTGGTGATGGGTTAGGGCCGGGGTGGGCTGAGGCAGAGGTTTTGGGTGTTGAACGAGGGGGAAGTGGGGGTGGAATGGTCATGAGGTTAGGGGAGGGACTGGCTGAGGTGGTTTTTGTAGGTGAATTGGAAACCCTAGGTGGTTTTGGAGGTACATATGGGGAGTGGTTTAGCATGTTGGACAGGACTCTAGATCTAGCTAATATGGGTGTGAGAGGAATAGTCTTCATCGCCGATTTTATTAGCCCTGCAGAGTGTTCAGGTAGATCTAACAGTGAAGGCGGGGATGAAAAACAAAGGGACGTGTCCCCATTCTCTCTTGATGGAGTGGACGTGGCAGGGGGGACCCAAGACAGGTCCATGGGAGGTGGCGAGGGAGTCTTTGATGGAGGGGCAGGTGGTTGAGGAAACCCCAGCACAGGCCTGTCTGCTGTAGGCTGGGGTGAGGATGGGGGCTTCAGAGGCGCTGTAGATGAAGAAGGCGTGGCTGCTTTGGAGCAGGCTGGGGATGAGGATGTTGGTGGTGGTGGTCGTGCTGCTGGTGCTGCTACTGGTGATGATGCAGCTGCTGCTGGTGATGATGCAGCTGCTTCTGATGACAGTGGAGGTGTTGAGATCCTTCGAGGTGGTGGTGGTGTTGATATCCTTCGAGGTGGTGGTGGTGTTGAGATCCTTCGAGGTGGTGGAGGTGTTGAGATCCTTCGAGGTGGTGGAGGTGCAGAGACTTTTAGAGTCGGCTTCCTCCCTTTCGATGGCTGCACGCGCTGCGCAGGCTGAGGTCTCAGGGCAAAAGAAAGGTTATCCATCAAAACTTTTACTCCGTAAGTGTTCAGATGTGGCCCTTTCCCTTCAAAAAGCTCATGCCTATTCCAGAACAGATTAAAATTCTCAATGAAGGCAAGTCCTCTGCGTGAACATTCGTTGAGTAGGAAAGTATTTAGCTGATACAGACGACTGAATTTCATTTGCTTCCCGTCCACATTTGGTAGTGGGCCACTGATAACGATTGTTGCGTCCATTTTAGCAAGGTTGTCCAATAAGAGAGAGTAATCCCGTTTCAACTTTTCACTTGTGTTGTCATAGATGTCTACTGCCCCCACGTGGATCAACAATCTTTTTACCCCGCCGGTCTCAGACAGAAACCTCGGAGCCAACCGCCTTATCTCATCCACTTTGGCAGAGTGTACTGAGTGAACCTTGAGATTACGCATGTTTACATGTCTTATCGCAGAATCGCCGATAAAGAGCGACTCAGCTGCATTTGACCTTGACTGAGACTGAGACTGAGAGATACTGCTGATTCATCTTCCAAAAGTGGTGAAAAGCGGTTTCTTGTAATCAAAGATTTTTGCTGTGGCATTATGACACTCTTGTTATCATTAGCTTTGCCTTGTTTGGGCTTGGCACCATATGTGTTCCAACAATTGTCTCTGTTGATTTTGGGAAATGAAATAGCGTCATCATAACTTATGTTCTGTCCATTTGGTCCATTTCCCTTCACTGGTATTGTTGTGTTCAGCCCCAATTCTGATTCAAGCACAAACATTCGGTCTTGAAGAAGTTTTAGCTCCTGTTTGAGTGAAAAACAGCCGTCGCAAAGTTTTGTTCCTTTTTCCCGTCCTCCCGACATGCTGTAAGTTAGGTAAATTCCACAAGTCTTGTGTTGAAGTTTGTAAAAAGGAGTAATCCGTGTTTTGTGGAATAAAAATGTAAGCAAAAATGATTAAAGGAGATAAAAAAGCAGCAAGCGAGGAGCAGCAAGAGAATGCGACTGCTCTGTCCAGAGACTAAAGAAACGCGTAGTCACCTCCACTTTGCCACACATGGTTGTTGACTCTATAATCTGGATGACTAAGCAATTACACAAATTCCATGATAGTTTGAATACATGATATGGAAAACAACATATCAAAGGGTAAATACTAAAACGTCTATCTCTCGCAACAATGAACAATGAAGTGGAACAGAAGCAGTTGAACGTCACATTTTATCCAAGCTAGTCCATATCCGCTCCCCACCAACGTTTTTTTTTTTGGGTATTTTGCCTTCAAGATTGAGATGATTCCTATTCACTAAGCTCCTGGTACATTCCCACTTTTAATGCTAACCCCCACTTTTTTAGTTGTATTCAATGTTCCAGCCTTGGCTCGACACGGCACTGATTTAACAATTAAGTAGTTTGATATTTTGATGTTTCAAAAGGCTGTAAAAAAGTCAATGAATTACTTGAGGATGATCAATGGAAGTCTTGGTTACTAAAATTATCAATAGTTGCAGCAAACTAGATGGATGCTTGTTATCAGAATCTGCCGGTATAATGTCAATCACAAAATCAGCCAAGCAGTTTGAAGCTTGAAAATGCTGATCTGGGAAGATAAAGTAAAAAACTGAAATAGTCTTAATGTAATAGCAGACCAAAGCACATCTTTTTCATAATCCAAGCTGCAACTCGAGAATCCCTAAGCTTTCCGTGTCCTCTCTTGTTTTAAGAGTTGTATACATGGATTTCTTATTCTCTCATCTATCTTTTTGTCTTCTAACAGACATCACCCAGGATTTCCAGGACATCACCAACATCAAACCACGCCAGAAGAACCTTGCCAAGAAGGGCGTGAAGAGAAGCGAACTGAGCACCAGGGATGTGATCGACAGCGCTAAGGACGACAAAACATCTGGAGAAGGCCACATCAAAGAAACCAAGGTTGCGTCCACCGAAGGACCCCAGGGCAAGAAGGGAAAGGCCCCAAAATCCGCAGATGTTTCCCCGCAGGACGTCCCCGATGGCGCCCAAATCAGCAAGGCGTTTGATACACTGTGCAACATCGTCCGGGACCGAATGAGAAGGTACAAGAAACCAGAACCCATCGCGGACTTCTACACCAAGGGTCGGTACGTGCTGGTGACCGGCGATGGAAGCTACCCGGATCCGTGCTTCTATACGACCACACCATCTGCCGGACACATCTACGTCACCATAAGAGACGGATACATGTCTCCTTACGACAGATACGGCGGCGACTCTCCAACTCCTTACCCGCCGCAACCCATGCCCCAACCGCGCCCGCTTAGTCCGACCATTCCCACGCCAAAGGACGACCCAAGAGGACCCAAGGGAAAAGATGGCGGTGGAGGCAAGGCCAGGCACAAGAGCGGAGATCCACGACCCAAAGATGCTGGTCCAATTTCACCACCCACCGGACGGAGAGAGCCCATCCCAGGAGCGGAGAATCAACCCGGGAAGAAAAGCGGGTTTCCGGGAGTCCTGCCTCGCATTCCCAGCTCCAGCTCCTCCAGCAGCAGCTTCAGTCCGGACACAATGAGCTACGAGAAGACCGAGGTGAGGGAGACGGTGGAGAAGATGTCCAACGATCGCAAAATCAAGGGCTACGAGGAGACGTCGACGGTGGTGGAGACTTTGATTGAAAAGTCCAGTAAGAAGAAGCACTGAAAAAACACAAAACTAAAAATGGTGAAATGCCAGCTTCCATCTGCAGTCTTTGGTGTTGGTGCCGGTGGTGATGTTGTTTGGACCTGCAAGTCATCTTCACGTTCAGAAAAGTAATCCAGAAAAGTCAGAGGAAACAATGAAACGTTTAGAAGGTGTTGTGATAAAAAAAAAGAAAAAAGATTGATATGTTGTGACACTGGACACCGCTGCCTGCCCTCAGCACAGATTTTTCTGTGAATGAATTTGCTTTGTAATCAATAAAATCCTCAATCATTGGTATTTTGTATTCATTCTTTAAACTATTAGGACTGTATTTAATGGTAATGTTATCCATGCCTCAGTAGGCCAATTTTATATGATTCACTTTGTATAAATTGTCTATATAAGAAAGTATGAGCTTATACTGAAGCAAGTGTGTGTGGATAGGGAAGTCTGGGCGTCTCTGCTTAGATTGCTGCCCCTGCAGTGGAAATGGAATGGGGCTACCGTGCAGGTGAAACTCCAAAAATTAGAATATTGTTCAAAAGTCAATTTTTTGTCTTTAATTAAAGTTATAATGTGAACATAATATGCGACAGGCTCATTACAGGCAAAGTATTTGTTGATTATAGACTCATAGTTTGTATCAACATTTTTGGACATTGGTCATAGGAGCCTTTCGATTCTCTGATATATATACATGGTGCTCACGGTTTGAATGCGGCAACTATAACCGTCGCATCAATTTGTTTTGAAAATAAATGGCAATCAAAGTGTGAGGATGTAAAATGGGAAAAGGAAGTCAGAGAGCAGGACAAAAAATTAAATACTATAGTTCAACCCAGTAAAACCCAGACATAAAAATATTTGAGAAAAATTGTCATATTGAAGACCAAGGAGGATCCAAAACGCAGAACTAGAAATAAAACCAAATGCAGAACAAAAACAAAAACAGAACATGGGATTGACAATGTAAGGATGAAAAGAGGAAAACCACAGAGTGTAAATACACAGTCCATGGGAGAGGTTCTCTTTGAGGTTTCTTTTAATGGACTGTTTCTTTGCAGCTCAAGTAGCATCTAAGAATATCGAAAACTCAAACAGCTTTATACATTTTTATCAACAATGATGTGACTACCCTCGGAGACCACTGCTGTTGTGCTTCGTGCCTACACATATACATGTACTTGATTAGAGGCAGACTGTGCACAGCGAGCTAATTCTTGCTTATATTCTTTGGGAAATGGATTTGATATGATCCCAGTTCTCCCCTCCTGCTCTCTCTCTGGGACGAACCATCTGCACCTGTTGCTCGTTCCTTCACCTGGAATCCATCTGCAATCTACTCTGATATTGTTGCACTCCTTTTGTTTGGATAAGATTTTTTTTTAAATCTAAAAGAACAATGTACATAAGATTTATTTATTTTTTACCTTTATTGCACACAGGTTAGGTTAGGTTATTTTGATTAATCTTATACGAGTTTCAAATCATTCAAACATTCCCATGATCAGAAAGGAGCAGATAGAAGAATATAATTCTTATATTTTTCTGCCCCCTTTTTTACAAAACAGAATTTGATGGTTTTGCTGCTGATTCCTTTGCCTTCTTTATCAGCACATACAATTATATACAATTGTATATATGCAGTATATATACATATATACACATATATATACATGTGTACAAATACATACACATACATACACAGAATTCCACAATTTTACTCCAACCACAGACAAACTCATCTGTTTTAAAGTTGTGCGTGCTATTTGATGTTTTAAGTCATATCTCCTTCTATGATTTTCATTTTCTGAAGTAAACACAAATAAATGTTGTAACTCTTCTGGAAGAGCTCTGTTTATGGACTGTGATAATAATTGAATTTGAATGATTGAATAGGACACAATGGCCTTTTGAGGATGGGTTGATTTGGGGCCGGGAACAACATTGATGTTCAAGAAATGGAAACACAGGGCAGCTACAAAAACACATTCAAAGCATTTAAACAGATCTGCTTTTGTGCAACGCCAACCTCATTGCTCAGTTGAGATCATAGGATGATGAGGAAAAACATGGTCTTGGTTCAAACTAAGGCGAGGTGTCTTTCAGCTCAGAGATACAGGGGACTTCAATTCAATGCAAATCTACAGTAAATGATCCGATATGGTTCAATATTTATCTGTTTTGTTTCAATTGTGGACATGGTACAACAAATCTTAAAATTGTAATCCTGTCACACAAATGAAAAAGAGCAGAAAGAGGAAATTTGACGCCCTCTTTGGGGTCGCAGAAGATGTCCTCTTTATTATCATTTTAGGCACTATGTTCTGTACATACCAGACACCTCAGATATTTAAAAAATAAACAAATAAGATCTCACATCTTATTTGTTTATTTTTAACTAAACTAACTTATGCACCACATACACGCTTTTCTGTACTTTTCTGTAGTGTGTCATCATACAAAGGAGAGAGATTACAGAGATTACTGGCAGTAACCCAAGTGACTTTTCTTTGACAAAATGTGTGTAAAATAATTAACTTGGATCGTTTATGTATAGTAAATGTTTCTCTTCTGGGAATTGTATCTACAGTATGTGGTGTAATTATAAGTGATTATGGTATGGTGAGATATTCAAAACATGTAGAGGATTCAAAACAAAACAAGCTCATTCCGAAATATGTGTGAATTTTGTCATTTCTGAGCGTTTCCTTGTAAGAGACAGAACACTGAATATTCCAGAATCATGTTTACATTGAACTTTTTAATAGTTGAGACACATACGACGCCCACAGAGACACAACAGCTCATAAAAACAATATAAAGAATAATTAAGTAAGTGTACAAAAAGCAGAAAAAGAAAACAGCTAAGACTCTGAAAATTTTAATAACTTTCACAAGTTTGACCTAAAATGTGAAACTAACATAAGACTCACACGTGCAAAGTGAATGTAGTATGCTAGTCCTTCAGTGTTTATAAGTTTGACGATTATGGCTAGACCCTTTTCTGACATGTTTTCAATTCAATCTAGTTTTATACAGCCCTAAATCACAACAGCAGTCGTCTCGGAAGACTTTACAAAGTTGAGAAAGGGCAGGCTCCTTTTGTGGCACCGGGACCTGGCGTTTAAAACACAAAAGAAGCCTGCCCTTACTGACAAAGTTGTCAATTCCTAAACAACAGATCAGAGAGTCAAACAGAAATAATATTTATTTTGTTCAACCTTTATCTAACCAGGTAAATCCCACTGAGATTTAGAACCCTTTTTTTCAAGGGAGTCCTGGATAATAAACTCATAGGAGCCATTTGTCCATAGGAGGCGGGATGACCAATGTCCATAAATGTTAATAAATGTCCATAAATGTCCCTGATAGTTGTCTCTGGGGTTTTTTACAAGCTATTAACAATAAATATCTCATTTTGCATGTGATGAATCCTCAACCTTGAACTACAGAAGTAAATAGACTTTAGAACAATATTCTAATTTTCTGAGTTTCACTTGTATAAAAAAACAACGTGAGCATCTTGGTGAGCAGATGAGCAAATCCTATACTTTCATTTCATACAAATAAATAGCGGTCGTGTGTGAAAGAATCAGCCACAGTCTCCATCTATCGACTACAGGACCTTATCTAGCAGTCCCAAGGTCTCTCCGATTTCTTTCATGTCAGCTGATCCTCATATTGCTTACGGCAACAGTCTCCCACAGGGAAGAATTCCCAGCTCCGCTCCTGGAGCTTGGAAAACCACAGGGAGACCCATATTGAGAAAGGGATCCGCTCCCTGTAAATTTCATTCAAATTCTTAAATCATGTGCAATGTGCAATACTGCAACTTCAGAATGTTACAGAACAATGTCACTTTACCAGAGGTGTGGACTCGAGTCATGTGACTTGGACTCGAGTCAGACTCGAGTCATGATTTTGATGACTTTAGACTCGACTTGACCAAATATAAAAAGACTTGCAACTCGACTTGGACTTTAACATCAATGACTCTGACTTTCACTTGGACTTGCGCCAATTGACTTGTAAAGACTTGCGTAACCCGGGCCATTTTTACCTTTCTCCGCATCTCTCTTTCTATCTATGCCGTCTCTGAAGAAACAAAGCCTCGCGGTAGTTGTAGCGCTCGCGAGAGAGTTCGAACGTGAGTTCCCCGCAGTTCGCGCAGCAACACTTCCCTAAACAAGCGGACTGCATTCACCGGTGGGTGTGTTGTCGTAGGGGAGCTGGAAATGAGCGAGCTGCAGGTATTTATCGCGACCTAACGTCATATTTTGTTCTACAAACCGTAATTATATGCTTTCACTACAGGCGCCTCATACAATTGAATCGACGCAGTTGTCACACTGTGTGCCGTGTTTTAAAGAGGAACTGGTGAGTCAAACTAACGCTAGCCTGCGCTGCTCTGTTGGCTCTTTCTTATATTTTTCTGTGTGGGCGCCGAGGCCTATTATTATTATTATTATTATTATGATTGCTGTGCTCCTCCTGCTAAAGTTTGCATACATTAGATAGTTGTTTTGATTATGTGCACTAAGCTAGATTAATATTTGCACTATTGTTTATGGTGCATTGATATGAGAATCAGTGCTTTGACTGATTGAATTAATTTATATGAGACATTTTATTATGTAATGATATATTGGTAATTATGAGATATTACTAATGCTGGCCCAGTTCATACAGGCCAGGTTTTTTTTTTTTGATGGCGAGCTGCCCCAGGTCCAAAGCCTAGACCCCTCATACTACCCCTATCCTACAGTAGGACATTTGGAACAATAACCACTACGGACATTAAACTGATTATATAGATACAGGTCCTAGCCAAATACTCATATTCATATATGCTGCACTTGCTACTTCCCATTAAAAACCCCAAAGATAAAAAGTATGTTGACACGGACTGCTCTGATTTTATGTGTGGTCTGTGCATGTGTAACTGAGCCTGCATCTGGCACAACATCCAATTAGATCACGTAGATAGTTTTGATTTATCAGCAGCCAACGACATGGAACAAACTGTTAGTCCATGGGTCAGAGACCAACGAGAATGCACCAGCAAAATGATTCCTAACATTATTTTGTTTGCCTACAAAAGTATGTGGAGACCAACAAGAAACAAATCGCGGTCAAAAAGACTCGAGAGGACTCGAAAGTCAAACCGTAGGACTTGGGACTGACTTGAGATTTGTTGGCCTTTGACTTGGACTCGACTCGGGACTTGCCTGTCTTGACTCGTGACTTGACTCGGGACTTGAGGGCAATGAATTGAGACTGACTTGTGACTTGCTAAACAATGACTTTGTCCCACCTCTGCACTTTACCTCATGTCACTTTACTTATATAATTTTTATCCTGCACTATTTAACTGTACAGTATATAACTGCACTACTACATGTATATTTTTTGACTGGTATTGAAGCTTTTTCAGCATCTACAGCTAGTTATGTTAGCTAAGAAACATAGCTACTACTTATTTGTATATAGTGTATATATTGTGTGTGATCCCTGTGTGCTCTTACTACTGTCCTATATGTGCGCTGCAACATCGAAATTTCTCCACTGTGGGACGAATAAAGGAATTCTTATCTTATCTTATCTTATCTTATACCACGGACAGACAGGCAATAGATCCAGGACCTAAGCTACAGAACGTGGACAGGTTCTGTGCAGGACTAAAGCACTCCCAGGCGGGTCGGGCAGGGCAGTCCGCATTGGTGATTTCAATGGTTTTGTTAAGTCCTCTGAGATGGCTTTTGTTGTGATTTAGGACTATACAAGAATAATTTGTCTTGTATTGTATTGTATTGATAATAACACAAAATCATGATTTGTCTCCGTTAAAATAAATAAGGTATCAGTCAGTAGACTCTTGCACGGACCAGTGGGGAACGTTTAACTAGAAAATAAGTAGGTTTTCATTTTGTTATCAGAACAGATTATACCTAGTGTTGAACGTGTCAGCCTTGAAACAACGAAACAGAACTTGATTTCTTTAGTACTTTACACACAATACAATACAATTTATTCTTGTATAGCCCTAGGTCACAACAGAAGTCATCTCAGAGGACTTAACAAAACCATTGAATTCACCAACCCAGATCAGAGAATCAACAGTTAAAACACATAAAGAATATAGAACACATGTTGATAAATGTCCATACATGTTGTAGAATGCTAAAGTGTCCTGATCATCACCAATCCTTTCTGTTGGACACTAACTGTCCAACAAGACCCTCCTGCATCGACAAGGAAAAACTCTTAAAAAACCCAGTGGGAAAAAGTGAGAAACCTTGGGGAGAACTAGGGAAACCCACAGGGAGGGAGACCCATATGAGAAAGGGATCCGCTCCTCCGGACGGACAGGCTAATGATCTAGGACCTAAGCTAGCTACAGGACGTGGACCAGTGGACGCTGAACGTGGACAGGTCCGGTGCAGGACCAAAGCACTCCCAGGCGGGTCGGGCGGGGCAGTCCGCAGGTGTAGATGGAGGAGGCCAGGCTCAGAGATCCCGTCATCGTACCATGAAACAGACAATGGGACAACGGTTGAATAGCAATGAACAAACTACAGTCAAAATCCTAATAATGCTAAAACAGGTAAAGTAGGAAGGAGGAGAGGATAGTGCTCAAGTTACCATACTTCTCCCAGCAAACTGTCTCCCTATGCAGCTTGACTGACAGTCTGAGGAGTTTAGCCTTCCCTGAGTCTTACCTTCCTAGCCATATGCTAAACTAAAGAGGACTGTTTTAAACCTAGCCTTGAATAAAGAGAGTGTATCTGAAAGGAGGCGAGACAGCAGCAGCAGCCACGGCTAGGCTAGCCCAGGCTACAGCACCAAGATTCATGGATTGCACACCAGGTGTGCAAACCGATCCAAACAAACCTAATTATATATTATATATCATATACATCACATATACCATACATACCATATATATAATACACAACATAGCATAATATATAACATAATATACAACATAACACAATACAAAACATAATACATATATTGTATAATATATAACATAATACAGCATATATATATAATATATACACCATATATTATATATTACCTAATTATATGCTAAATTAAAGTAGAGTGCTTTAAGCCCGGCCTTGAATGTGGAGACCGTATCTGCTTCCTTAACATAAATGGGAAGCTGATTCCACAGTAAAGGAGCTTGGTAGCTAAATGCTCTGCCACCAACAGTGATTTTTGAGACCTTAGGAACCACCAGACGTCTGGCGTTTTGTGAGCGCAACGCTCGACTTGGTTGATACGACATATGCTATTCTCGTGAGCACGTGAATTTATTCATTCATTCAATCTTTCTTTCTTTCTTTCATAGGTGATCCTAAATAAATACACTGCAAAGATAAAACCAATATGAAAACACTACAAGCACAGCCCACAATGATAAAAAATAAATATATACAGTAAAATGCCACTTGTGCTCAATCACATACACAGTACTTTATACTTGCCAAATGTAAAACTTTTACACTTCCATCCATCTATCCATTTTCTTCCCCTTAATCCATTTCCGGGTGACAATCAGTGATGCCACCCAAGTCACATAGCACCAGCCCATCACTGATCCCCTGCAGGTGGTGAGTCCACAGGAGGATGGCTGCTCTGTCAGTGTGAGCCTTGATCTTTCAGCGGGGGCTTTGGGCAAAGTGGGGTTAAGTGTCTTGCCCAAGGACACAACGACTTTTACACTTCTTCTTATTATTATTTTCAAGATTGAGTTTTTATACCTGTTATTGATGCTAGAGATTTTGTTTTATTTCAATTAGTATAGCTATTGTTCACTTAACTTGCGTTGTGTGCTCCTCTTCCCTACTGTTCTATAACATGTGATGCAACACTGAAATGTCCCCACTGTGGGACGAATAAAGGATCTATTTTTTTATCAAAATAGAGAATTAAACTTGTGTTACTGTAAGCATGTGTGTGCCTGATATCCTGACACAACCTGTGGCTGTGCATTTCCATGGCAACACTTTTAAATCATATTATAAGGCATAACATGTGTTATGCATTCTAGTTTTACTTGAATGTAAACAGTCTTGCAGCAGAGAAATGGACAACATTGATGCAGAAAGGATTATGGCGGACAGCCCCTTCCCCTCAAAACAGGAGAAAAGGGAGAGACTCAGACAGATGGAGCTATCCTTTAAAGAGGCCGACAAAGATGGCGGCTGCAATCTGGACGAGACGGAGTTCATAAGCGCCATGGGTGAGTTCTATCCAGGACACAGCGAGGAGGAGCTGAGAGCCTTGCACATGCAGATAGACGCCAACTGCGATGGAACCGTGAACTTTGATATGCTGCTGGACTTTGACATAGCTAAACACTATGCCAGCAAGAGAAAGAAAAACATGTTTCCTTTGCCGATTAAGATTGTGGACGGCGGGCACCGTAACCAAATCGTAAAAATTGTGGCCAGGCTTGTGGATATGCCGGAGAATAACTACAACAATAGTGGTCTGCGGAAATCAAAGAAGAATTCTTGACAGTGACTTCTGATGGAAAACTGAAGATTTGGACGGATCGTTTTGACAAGCATAAGGACGAAACGATCTTTGCTCAAACTGACTCACTCCACTTCCAACACAAGCAAAAAATTAAGGTCAACGACTTGATCTATCTGAAAGAGACAGAAGAAGTGGCGGTAGCAAGTAACGAACGCGAGGTCCGGTTCTATGAGTGGTCTTCAGAAGGTCTTACAATGCGTTACTCCATTATACCAGAAGCAAGTCAAGTAACAGCCTTGCACTACTGGTCTGACGGCAAGAAAAGCATCTTCACATTTGGCGATTCTGTTGGGTATGTGTTTGTTTGTGTTAGCCACCACATACACACATGCATGCTTTTCAACCCAGCTTTCTTCTCACGCACTAAACAAGACAGCTACAAGCGAGCGTACATGACATCGTTACTGCAAGAGACATGCCAAGATTTTTCCGTGGTGAAAATCAAAGTGTTTCAAGACATTGTCGCGTCCATGAAATACATCCCGACGCTGAAGGAGGTTGTGATCTGTGGGGAATCGGCAACAAAAATGGCACTGGTGGCTGTGAACAATGAAAGAACGCTTATTAACTACTCCATTCTGTCGCATAAAAAGATCTTCTCTTGCGTCCAGTACGACTCTGAAACTCAAGTTTTGATCACAGGGGGAGATGACGGAGTTTTGCGGGCGTGGTCTAAGGAAAAACCACTTTGCATGTTCAAGATGACATCACGCAAAGTTCCGATTCTCTATACGCACTTGCGTGACACACTTTTCGATGACAGTCTTTTTTGCCTTCATAGAGATCAAACTATATGCGTCTGGGATATACATCTCCAAAAATGCACTCAGACCATCAGCCACGAACCAATAAGTGCCAGTATTGTTTCTGCGGTTTATTACTCCATCCAGAACAACGAGTTGATATTGGCCAACACAAGTATCGGCGTGCTTATCGGCAAAGGCACCCAACTCTTTCAAGATTTCAAGTCTTCTCATCACAAGCCCTTATGTGGAGCGATTTACCACACAATTTTCAAACAAGTTGTGGTCTGTCTGTCAGAAAGGAGACGTAATCGTATGGGATATAAACACAGGGAAATACATCCTGAAATTCAACGTTAGCCCCTACAAGCTAATTGCATCAACAGCCATGACGTTGAATGGGCCTCAACGCAAACTCATAACCGTTTGTAATGACAACAGAGTCCGCTTTTGGAACTTCAACACTGGGCAAGAGCTGGAGGTGTTGCCGGTAGATGTTCCAACCACAATCTTGGGTCTGATTTGTACAGAGAAGCTGCTTTTTCTCACATCAACAGAGTCAAACATCATCTACTGTCTTAAACTAGAAGGGAAGGAGTATATATGTATTGAACACCCGCTTATTAAAGGGGGTATCAAAACTATCGCTATCCATCCAAATGAAGGCTGTATGGTCACGGTTTCAAGCAATGGACACATTCTTGTTTGGGACATTGAAAGCTTGCGAGTGCTGTACTTCTTCAACAACCAAAGCCCACGTATACAACATGTTTTGAATGTAAACTTGGTGGCAGAGATCTCCGAACTGCCAGAACAGAAAGATGTGCATTTTGTTAAGCAGTATGAATGCAAACCAGTACCCTTAAGCCTGCTGAATAAGAAAACCGAAAAGTTAGAAGCAAGAGATGTCTTCAAAAGTCCTATTCTTCACTTCTTAAAATCACGCAATGGTCATTCAGGTTTAGCTACTGTCATAGTAGCAGATGAAGGCTTTATCAGTGCGTGGGCTTTGACAGGGAAAGGAGGCTTACTTACAAAGTTTAAAGCAATAGACAAAGAAGCAGTAATGATGTGCGTCGATACAGACCCCAATGACCATATTCTCATGGTTGGAGATAGCAATGGCTTTGTTCATGTGTGGAATATCGAAAATCTTGGCGACCGCAATTTTGATTTCGATGGGCCGTTTGAAGAGATTGGAGAATGGAAAGTGAACATACGGCCTCCTCCTTTGCTGAACAGGTGGAATGCCCACAAGGGAGCCGTCACCAGCATCACTTGTAACCCAAGTCGCGAGAATTACATCACCACTGGCTTTGATTGCAACGTGACGGTGTGGACCAAGAATGAGCATCTCGTTGGATCGTTTCGAAAAGGCAAATGGGAGACAAAAGACTTAAACCCGGAGTGTAAAAAGCAGAGCGAACGTGAGAATAAGGCAGATGGCTTACTGTAGCTCCTCCCATTCCGCCCAGCACTCCACTCCCCTCCAAGAACGAAAAACTTCCAAGTTACATGGAATTTTGAAAGCAGAAGAACTTGAATGATAATAATTAAAAAAATATATATATCCAGTTGTGCTTTTTTTTATTAACACAGACAGGCAGAAACAGACACACACAGACAGACAAAGACAAACACACACAGACAGGCAGAGACAGACACACACAGACAGGCAGAGACAGACACACACAGGCAGACAGACAGAGACAGACACACACAGAGAGGGCAGGCAGAGACACACACAGACAGGCAGAGAAAGACCCACACTGACAGACAGACAGGCAGAGACAGACATACAGACACAAAGACAATCTTTATCCACATCATAGAAGGATAATCATCAATTATCACAATCCACAGACACACCTTCTCTGGACACAACTGCACAGTGAAAACTACACAAAGGTGATCTGATGTTTGATAATCACTTGTACTGCACACGTGGAGTAAACAGTAATAATAATAATAAGGCAATGGTTTCATATAGTGCTTTTTGGGACACTCAAAGTCACTTCATATGTCATTATTTTTTCACTCCAAACAAGATGGTAATTGGCAACTAATACTATAGCATAGAGTGTGTGTGTGTGTGAGGGACTGCCAAAGACAAAGTGGGGGGGGATCCGGTGTAACGCCGAGATACACTGTCTTGAAGAGATGCACTGCCTCAGCTGTTTATGATGTAATACAAACCTGCGCATGCGCGTCTCACGGCAACCGAAGCAAACCAAGATGGCGGACCGTGAATTGCTAAAAGTTGAAATACGAACGAATTAAGACACGAATGTCACTTTTAATGCAATTTGAGGCGAGATGTTGATGGTTCCGTTTTGTCACATGTGGGTTTTAAGAGTCAAAGTTTCGTGCAAAGTTTAGTTTAAGCAGTCAACTGCGCCTGTGAAACCACAAAGCTAATGTTTTCATAGCAGTCCGCGGCTGCTGACGTAGGCTGATGACGCGTCCTGTGGCCACTCTACACTCTTACACTGGTCTGTTCGGGTTGATAATGGAAAATGGGGGAAAAAATCAATCTAATTAAATATTTTGTTTGAACATACTATTTTGAACACACTATTGTTAATCATATTTGTGGTTTCAAATACAGTACGATACATGTATTGAATGAAATTTATTATTTCCAACTTTTAAACCCGACAGACCAGAGTGTAGAGTGGCCACATCAGGACAGCGAGGCAGTCATCAGCCTACACCGGCATATGGGAGAGGACATGTTTTTAGTTTGCAGTGATGTTTTTATATGTGCATTGCAGCGTTTTTAGTTGCATGCTAGTTCCTGAGTGTATCTGTTTGGCGATGGCAGGAAAAGTTTGGTGTGTGTGTTATTGTTATATAAGCCTGAAAAATGTTGAAATATTGAATCATGCTCCGTCCGGGGTGGTCTTCTGTTCCCCTGTCCTGTTGGTCTGTGCCCTCACTCTAGTGACATGTTTGTTACTCTCTTGTAACATAAACTAGTGCACTTTATTTTGATTGTTGAAACTGCATGCATCCTCTACAAAATGTATAAATATGTGTAAATAACATTTAAATAAAGGTTAAAAAAAAAGGTTAAATAAAATAAAAAGCCCACAGCCAGCAGCCCGTGCGAGGCCGTCTCCCTCCTCAACACACGCGTTCGTCCTCTTCAGCACCACGGACAGCTCCCAGACCCGGGGAGAGACGGGCTTTTCAGTCTCTGTTATCAGTACTTTCTCATGATTATAGGTTTTAGTAATTAACTTTTTTTCTATATTTTTCATTGATATTGCTTTTTCTCTGATTCTTGATACTAGTGATGTGGACGGACAGGCACTCCTCTCTCCTCACCCCTTTTTCCTCCCTCCCTCCTCCTTCTCAGGTCTCTCTATGGTCTCTCCTTCCCCCTGCCTCTCTCTCTCCATCCCCGGCTCCCTCTTTCTCGCTCTTTCTTCCATCTTCTCTCTTCTTCCTATTACTCCCTCAGCATCTCTCCTCCCCCCCTCCCCTTCCTCCCTCTATCCTCTCTCCTCCCCTCTCTCCCCAGCAGCTTCTGCAGCAGCCGCATCATCCTCCATCTCTCTCTGTTTCTCTCCTCCCTCTCTCCCCCTGCCTCCCTCCCTCCCTCTCTCTCTTTCCCTACCTCCCTCACTCACAAAATCCAACATGAGGGTATGTTAAATTAACCACTATCAAACATGTTACTGAACTGAAAAACTATATATTGGGACTTGAACTGATTCATGTTATGTAGTTTCAGCATGATATACAGGACAATAGATTTTGCAAGAATCATTTGCGTTAATCCAACATAATTTCAAAAGGTTTTGGATTGCAGCTACATTTACAACACCAGACAGGAGGTGGCAGTGTTCTTCCGGTTTCCGCTTTCAAGCATGACAATACGCTCTGAGCATGGATCTATTATAATAACTGGATAGGGTATTACTAGCTTGGAGCTGAAGAACTCATGTGCTCAGGGGATTCTCGCGGTACTGCAGACTTAACCAATCTAAATACACGTGGGCTACCCAGAAATTTTCCCCATAGAACTCAATGTAAATTAAAACAGTTCGACCTCAGCTGACAGAGTGGGGATTTTAGTGTCCCTTGTCATCCTGAACTTTTTTTCTTCTTAAATCTTTGGGTTTTCTTTAAATCCACACTTTAGTGCCACAAACTCTGCTCGTCTGGCTCTCGCTCTAACTCCCGCTCTGATGAACTGCTCTGATTGGTCAGAGCGCGGCCGAGCTCCTC